ATTCAACTTCAAAATATTTAAACTGTCTTTAAGCACTATTTCCACTGTAGTGAAAGTCCACATACTTATAGGATCAATGCAAAAGTCCGTTAAATCTGGTTTTGGAGCACATGAAGGCCCTGGTGTGGTGTTTTTTCAGTCATTGGTTTGAGGTTGTCATGTTTGTATTTCAGAGTGTGTGTTTGCCTGATTTTGTTTGTTCTATAGACAGAAGTAGTGTCCAAAAATACTTGAAGCCTACATTACAACTTCCCACTCTGTTCCCTTTAGATAGAAAGTACTGAGTGAATAATGATGGGTTTTGACACCAAGAGGGCAGCGCTCTGTTGCAACATCTTCCATCTTAGTTTTCTTCCTACATCTCCAGATGCCCTTTTAGTCATCTGCTGTGTGGAGGTACACAATATCTTCTCTGCTCACTCAAGTAGCTATTCTCCCACTGTTCCTTTCACTGGTATCTCCAACCAATCTTCCACAGCTACACAAAGCCATTTGTCTTTTACGTTTGTGTGTGACTGTATGAGTATTCATGTGTGTGCATGCATCTGTATTTTATGGCCCCGAAGGGTTCAGAGGTGTTTATATGGGAGAGGTGACACCCATATTGCTTCTATAACCTGAGTAGATCATATGAAACCCTGTCATTTATAGTAAATGGGAGCATCTGGTCAGCTGTAAATGTAAAGTAATGAAATGAAATGAAAGCTCACAGGGCTATTCTCTCAGTCCTTTGACCAAGTGACTGACCCAGTCAGATCCAAGCTGAGCAGGAAATGTGATTTAAAAAATAGAAACACAATTAGACATGTATTAAAAAGTATTAGGACTGTTAATTTTTTGTTTGTTTTGTTTTGTTTGTCCTTTGGAGCAGGGTACTGCTGCAGATTTTCAATGTTGTCATTACTTCCTGGCTCAATTAGTCCAACTTTATCCTTTATCATAAACTAAACATATACTAAACTCAAGCACACCCAGAACTCTGCTCTTCATCTGTTTACTGACTCCCACTCTTATGACCATATCACCCTGATCCTACAGCATCTCCCCTGGCTCTGTACCAGTTATATGATCTGCTTCTTCCCTGTAACAAAGTCTTCAATAACTAGAACCCCCTTATATCACTCAAAGTCTTCATGACAATACACCATCCTGCATATACTGTTTTTACTAAAGCCAGCACACTGTTCCATTAGAGTTAGTTTGATTTGATATTATAACAGAATGTTAACCTTGAGCCAATAAATCACAGTTTTATGTCACAGCATAAAACAAACAGTGAAAAATGAATCATATAATCCAATTGCTTTATTTAAAAAGAAATACAACTACAAACATTACTGGTGCCTAAACAATATTATATCCATAATAATGATTCTATTACAGCAATATTATAATGAGGAAAATAAAATAATCTTAAACATTACACAATATTTATGAACATTTATATTTTGATGCACGTTATTTATTTATTTTATTTTATTCATTTATTCTTTCATTTTAAATAAACAAAATAAACAAAACAAATTCATCAAAAAGAAAAAAACATTGAATGAAAAGGTGCAGAAAGAAGAAAAAACGTCTTATAATATCTGCCCCTTATTTAAAAATATATACAAAATAACTTTAAACAAACAACAACTTAGGCTTGAACATCTCCAAAGTGAAAAAAAAAATATTATGCATCCTTCACTCCTTCACATGGCACCATACTTTCCTAACAAGTTTAACCTAATCATCTTTGTAATTATATAAATTGTTTTAGGAATGTTCATGGTGATATCAAGGCAATTCCATAATCCTATTCCCTGAGTTACAACGCAGCTCCTTCAGACTAGTTCTAAATGGAGGTTTAACAAACATTTACATTCCCTTAAGGTTATAATGACTCTTTTTTTTAAACAAATTTTAATTGAATATTTGGGGGTAATATGTTTTATGAGCTTTATACATGACTTGCAAAATACTATATTCAAATTATACCAAACCAAATTATAATATTTTAATAATTTCAACTGTTGAAATAATATATTTGTTGGGTGACAATAGCACTTCCTACTAATAATTCTTATAGCTCTTTTTTATAAAATAAAAATAGGATTTGTAATTGTTTTGCATGTTTTTCCCCAAACTTCAAAACAATAGATTAAATATGGAACAATCATTACATTATACAATATATATAAAGCTTTGTCATTCAAAAACTATTTTACTTTATACAGTAATGCAATTAATTTAGCTATTTTTATTCTTAAGTAATTTAAATGAATGAATTTGTATAGTAAATTTTATAGTAAATTTTTATACTATCTTTATTCTTAAGTAATTTACATAATTTACATTCTTAATTTACATATTCACATGAGGAGAGTGAGACAACACTAGTAAATGTGATTTCAGGTACTCATGACATTTTAAATCAGTATGATATACAAGTATTTACATTTTGTAAATCAAGACTGCAGTTTTAAATTTAATTGAGGATATGGTGATTAAATTTAAATCATTCAATCTTTATTTATACACGTTAATCTTTGTATAAATTTAATGTGTCAGGTAAACCACCAGATAGCCAAAAAGCCATTTTTTTAAAGATAACGTGATGTCTGTAAACAAATGTACACAAACGTAGAAGACGTAAAGAAGCTTAGTGTAAAAGTTTGTGCAAAATAGCAGTAGATTAGAATGAGTGATGTGGTGCATGTGTCGGCCATGATAGTCTTAACATCAGTCAGTCGGAGCTTGGAGTATGAAGAAAATGGCAGAAGTCTTCCTCCAGGCTAAGCTAATAAGTAGCCAAACAAGGGCCAGTTTTCATTGCTTTGTTCTTTTTTTTTCTCCAGGTTTAACTCTTTCTCAAAAACAAGATAGTGAGGAATAATACTACATTTAGTAATGTTAAATCTCAACAATTTAACACCCTTTTTAGTTTGCCACTGTCTTTTCAAATATACATAATTTGTGTTGAACACTGGCTGTTGTCTGCAGGAAGTAGGGTAAAGTGTTTAAATGACTAGACACACTGATCAGACTTATACCATTTCCTCCATACTCCATGCTCTGTGACTGATGTCACAGCTGATAAGAACATCACTTCAAAATTGGCTGAACTATCTCTTTGATAAAAGGAGCAGAAACAATGCCACATACAAAAGTAGTGGTTTCGACACAATAACTTTTTAACACCGTGGTTTGTGTTTTAACAAAAACCATGCCTAGTCCTCACAACTCAGACATAAGAACACAACAACAGTCCATTGGACTTGTGCGTCAGGGTTCCTTTCCTCTAAAACTTCCTGTCACACTTTTAAAAGCTGAGCTTAACATTTCTTATTGTCTCATGGGGCCTCACTGTCGTTCTTGGTGTATTTTGAATGTCTTGGTCTTTTGAGTAATTATTAAATATCTTTAAAATACTGTTTTTATTTTATGGAATAAAGCACGGTGGCGCAGTTGATAGAGCTGCCGCCTCTCAGCGAGCAGGTCACTGTGGAGTTTACATGTTCTCTCAGTGCATGCAGGGTTGTTCTCCTGGTACTCCAGTTTCCTCCCACAGACCAAAAACATGCATGTTAGGCTGATTGGTAACTCTAAATTGTTCCCAGGTGTGAGTGAGAGAGTGAAAGGTTGTTTGTCTCATTTGTCTCTATGTGTAAATGGACTGTACTTATAAAGCAACTTTCTATCTGATCAAGATACACAAAGCTCTTTACACTACAACCTGTGTCCTGGTTTACCCATTCATACAGCACTCTACTAGATCTGTACAAAGCTAACTGAACAAATCATTCTAAAGAGACTAATCAGTGCTTTGAGATCACATTCATACACCAATGGGATACACATCGGAGGCAATGAGAGGTTCATTGTCTTGCCCAGGGACACTTTGGCATGTGACTGCTGGTGGATTAGAACCCCCAACTTTTGCATTGGAGGACAACTGCTTTAACCACTCAGCCACAGCTGCCCATGTGTCCCTGTGATGGACTGGAGACATGTCCAGGGTGTCCCCCACGTTTTGCACAGTGATGGCTGGACATGGGCGCCATGAACCCCGCGACCCAAAAAGAAAGAAGCGACGGGTAAAGATAATTGATGAATGGAATTATGGGATGAATCAAAATGTGACAAGAGATAGTATAATCTGAGCATGACCTCACCAATTTTTGTAAAGCTCAGTAGGGAACCAGTATCTGCAATCATGCCTCAAAATGTTGTGGAATTATATCCCAGAAAAGTAAATGGACTATGCATATACTGTAGTGTAAGCGTACAATATTACAGTAGCAAATTCATACATCCCTTTGGCCTTCTAATGTAAATCTTGCAGGGAACGCCTTGTCACTGCCACTACCGGGAAAGTGGGAGCATTGAAATAGCAGTGTGTCACTAGTGACACAAACCAATGACATTAACAGCATAGAGGGAGAGTCATTATTCTTTCCTAGATAGCAAAGTTAGATAGCTAGACGGAGTGTTGATGGTTGCTGGGATACAAAAAGGGGAGTGACAAGCAATGAGGACTGACTCATTGTGATGACCAAGCAGCTTTCTCTCCCCACTGAGAACATCTTTGCATTTTTCGCTTGTCTTATTAGCATTCCCTGACTCCCTCCATAAATCCAGTGGTGCTCATGAGCTTTTGGCATTGACTCAGTAAAGCTGCTGAATGTGTCATTATTGCTAACTGCGCAATCACAAAGCAGCATGAGGGAGGCAGAGGAAAAATGGAAAAGATTAAAAATAGCTCTAAGAATATCAGAGGCAATAAAGGCCATGCCGATTAAATTCCACATATTTAAGCACATGTAGTAAGAGGATCCGTTTATTTTCTTTGTCCAACTGTTTCATTTAGTCCAGTTTTTTTTTCTTTCACACTCTCAATAGATGTAATACTCCCTTGATTAATATGGCAAATGGGTACAAAAATGGTTCCCTTACCAAATTAGTAAGGGGTAGTTATGGTTTGATCTAAAACTCCTTCTGTTTTTCTTTTCCAACAGGAACTCTACATACTGCATGAAGGTGTCCATGTCTCTGACTGTGGCTGAAAATGACACAGACCTTTGTTACAACTCAAACTTGAGAAGAACTGAAAAGGCTGAACTCAGTAAGAGTAAAGACATCCTCTGTCCTGACATCGATGACTACGTTGAACCAGGCAAAGAGCCTGAGATCACGTGGTACAAGGTAGGCTTGTTAGATATTTAAAATATATTAAACTTATATGTATCACTTTTGATCTTGTCTTATTGGTGACATTTTATGTGAATGTTGCTTTTTTTTTTTTTTTTTTTTGAGAAAATCACCAAGGAGAGCTTCTGTTTCAGTGATTATACAACTGGGAAATATTCTTCAATGGTTCATTGGTTTGTTTTCATCTAATTTCTTGGCTGTTTAGGTTTAAAGCCTTGTTGGAGATGCAGTTCCAAATCACTTAGGCAGATTATGTATGGAGGTAATTACTTAAGCTGTACTCAAAGCGTTCCACACTATTGTGAATCATTGAGAGAGAATGAGAACTGCGCAGAGGGCAGCCACAGCGATGACTTTCATAATGAGCATAAAACTTCCATGAGAATAGAATTGTGCAATATCATTTTGTGCCCCGTGGAAAGAGAGGATGCCCTCCAAATGCTCCTGCACCCTGTTTCACCCCCTCCTCACTCGCCTAAGTTCTTGCCTTTCCCAGGTCAGACACGGCCTGCAGACAACAAAGTGCATCTCAACCAAGAGTTTAGACCAAACTAATCACAAGCAGATCAGCAGTAGATTAACTGGCCGAACTTGACCTCCAGTTTTTTCTAGAATTCAATTACGATCTAGGTAATGACTGGGAGAGCTGGGACCCAGAGTTATTTGGACCTCTGCGGAGCCAATGTGATTGAATTCAAAGGTTGCCGGGGGCAACGATGGAATAGAGTACGCCAAGCCGTCATTGTCCCCGGCAGAGCGCCAAGGAGCTGAAGAGAGGATCATGTCACAGGGTTACTCATTGTGCTTGCACATGGATACTCACACATTCACACAGACACAGAACAAATACACTTATTTCACCAGGAGAGACCTCTGTAAATAAAATTCTCCATCCTCTGTGGCCCAAGTAAAATATTGAGAAGAGAATATTCAGTTCAGTGCAATAAAACTTGATCAGATAAGAAAGATTATGGTAAATTTGTATCCTTTCACAATATGGACTTCTTTTGTCAGAGTGGTAAACTATGCATCCCTGAAACTATTCACTTTTTCAACACTTTGTGGGATTTTTAAACCTTTAGAGTGCTGCATATATTACTGATATACTGTAAATAAGTTTAATATAAAATAATCTGCATTGTGCCCTAGAGAAAAGTGTGTTGAGAAATAGCGAGAAACATTCACTACAAAGTCGTGCTTCCTCAAAGAGAGGCTTTACTGAAATAAACTAGCAAAAGACGTTCATGTGAAAAATTAATCCATAGTAAGATGCTTAGTCTTTTAGTTACGTTTGCAACACGACAGCTCCTAAATACTTAACAGTTAACAGTAATTGAGTAAACTCTGAAAATTGCAAATATCGTTATCAAATTAACATTATTACCAATGATCTAGAAACATTTATAACTAGTGTTGTAGTACTCGAGACCGGTCTTGGTCTTGAGACATTTTGATGGTCTTGGTCTTGTCTCGGTCTCGGGCATTGAGGACTCAGGATTTTATTTCAAGACCAGTCAAGACCACAACTGTGGAAATATCACTATTATATACATGGCTGTGGCATGTATGGCATGGCATATTCTGGCTGTGTATTATATACACAGCCAGAATATTTTCCAGTTTATTTGTCAACATCTTTGTTTTAATTGGATGCAAAACTGATTCAAATCCCAGCGATAAGGTGACTCATTGCTAAATACATGATTTTGTTACCATTGTCACACCCACCCCCTTTCACTCGCATGTGGTTCTGTAGCAACAGAACAATACAGACAACAGAACATAATGTCGCAACCAGGAGTGGAAAATAAGCCGGTACGGATAATCTGTGAAAAGATTGAGTTCCAAGACTTGAGGTCTTGGTCTCGACTTGGTCTCGTCCTCCCTCAGTCTTGGTCTTGGCTTGGTCTCGGGTTAGGTGGTCTTGACTACAACACTATTTATAACCCTACTTGAGATGCCAGGTCTTTGATGTGTTTGCATTTTACTCAAGGAGCAAACTTGTCTATCCATCTGTCCATCCATCCATTATCTTTACCCGCTTATTCCATTTTGGGTCACGGGGGTCGCTGGTGCCCATGTCCAGCAATCACTGTGCGAGGGGTGGGGTACACCCTGGACGGGTCGCAAGTCCATCACAGGGACACATAGAGACAAACGAGACAAACAACCATTCACTCTCTCACTCACACCTAGGGACAATTTAGAGTTACCAATCAGCCTAACATGCATGTTTTTGGTCTGTGGGAGGAAACCGGAGTACCCGGAGAAAACCCACGCATGCACGGAGAGAACATGCAAACTCCACCCAGAAAGGCCCCTGGACCGGGGTTTGAACCAAGGACCTGCTCGCTGAGAGGCAGCAGCTCTACCAGTTGCACCACCGTGCTGCCCCAAACTTGTCTATTTTACTCAAAATGCATCATAAGGTTATGTCACAAGACATTCTGCAAAATGATGGCACAGACAATTCCACCTTTCTTTTTCCTCTGGTCATTCATAAATCACAGATGAAACCAGGCTCTTCCCTCTCTAAGTTTTCAGAAATGAAGTGGACAGAGCGAAACCAAAAGAGGAATGGAGCAGAACTCAGCTGTGCTGAAGTGGAGCATGACACATTAAATGTGTGACCGATATCTGTCTCGTATCATTTACTAAACATAATTAACTAACTTGCGTTAGCAATCCTTTTATGGCTAACTGTTTTTTTTTTAACTAACTGCAAAGTTGCTGCGCATCATCTCATCATTCTCTCAATAAAAAAAAAATCTGTTAGTTGTTAATTAACCCCGCAAGCAGGCGTTCGCACACTAATGTGATCAGTTTAACACATTACTGAGCTGCAGCGCCACTTTTTTCTTTTTGTTTTTTTTTTATAAACATAATAATAAGGGAAACATAATTTCCCTTGCAAATGAAAGTTGAAACAAAATCAATTGATGTCAGTCTACCAAATCAAAACATTTTGCACATCACTGATATCACTACTGTAATGATGCCTTCTATTTGTACCTAGATGTTCAAATTTCTAATTAACATCTAAATAAACAAGTCAAACAACTGGTAAAGTTGGAGATCTGATTTTGAACGTCTATTATTTCTCAGTAGCCTTGTCAAAATTCAACACAATTTTTTACATTTAGCACATAAAACATGATAACTGCACTAACGAACTGTTTATTTGTACTTTTTTTTGTTTGTTTGTTTTATGTTAAAACTGTGGAACATAATACTTACTGTGCAACCTCTCTTAATGAGCATGTTTCTATAATTATTAAATGCCTGAAATACAAAAAATAAAAATCTTTGTTATCAGCTTGGATTGCTAATAGCAGTTACTTTTGGATCACTGAACACAAGAACAAGCACATTTCACAGATATTCTGACTTGCAACTGGAACTCAATAGATGGGACATTATTCCCAGATATGAGTTTTTACCCGAGTTAAATAGAATGCAGTATTAATTACCTTTTTTTTTTTTTTTTTACCAAAAACAATCCCATGAATTAAAAAAATGTATTTATTTAATAATAATATTATTAATAGTAATAATGATGGTAGATTATTTTTTATGACAAAACTGAAGACGTTTCACGTTTCATCAGAGGAGCTTGGTGAAGAAGATGAGAAGCAAAACGTCTTCAGTTACAAAATAAAGTCCAGTTGTTTTGTTATTAACCTTTTGCTGGATGTTCTTTGTGCTGGATGACTGGGAATCTTCACCAGCATTTATGACAAAACGCATTTTAGTTTGACTTGCATACATTTTTCTCCAGGTCCAGATCATGAATGAACTCTATCTCTGACAAATTAGATAATCCTTAATGTTCTTCACCTTCAGGTCTTGATTTTCCCAAAAGTACTTTTTTATTTATAGCACTTTTCAATTTAGTTCAGTTTATTTATACGTATAGCATCAAATCACAACATAACTCATCTCAGGGCACTGGATAGAAACATTAACATACATATAAAGCCAGTTAATAATGTTATTTATCTAAGAAGCCTACAGATTACTTTTAAATCTAACTGATACCAGCTGTTTTATGTGACATCTCAAGTTAGGTATCTGTGATATGTTTAGAGATGTTTTGACCTGCCTGTTCTTCTCTGATACACAGGAGTGCCATCCAAAGCAGTGGCGTGCCAGTATATTTCAGAAGAGGGACATCTTGTCCATTCAAGAAGTTAAGGAAGACGATATTGGGAATTATACCTGTGAAGTCCAGTTTGGTGGCTTTGTCGTCAGAAGGACGACTGAACTCACAGTAACTGGTAAGAAACTAAACGTGTCTTGTGTCTGGGAAATATTTTACAAGTTCTCCAGATTGTACTGGTTGAGGTAATGAATAGTGTACACCTGAGTGTAAACAATAGTTTGCTCCACACATTTATTCATACACAAACAGACACACCGCTGAGCACTGTTATGATGCTCTGCTGCTGTGTTAATTGTTGGGGGAGGGTGAAGACTGAGGTCTGGCCTCCATCCCTTCTTCTAGCTCAGCACTTTCCAGGCAGTCAAGCATCTTTGAAATATTTAAGGCTATCGGCTAAAGCCCTTCACCCTGAGAGCTAAAGAGCCTGGACCAAGGTCAAGAGATTTATTTTTTGTGCTTATCCATCTCCCTTTCTCTTACTTTCTTCACCTGATATGGTTGCAGGGTGTGCACAGACATGAATGTGTTTATTTGTCCAAATTAGTGCATTTTGTTGCAATTAGTGTGCCATTGGGTGCTCGAAGCTTGTGAGTTCTTTTTGGTCAAAGGCACTAATCTTGGTTGATGAAAAGGTTTGTTTCTTCCTTTCCTTATTCTAGCTGAAATAAAAACCCAACTCTGACCCCTATGCATTCTAGAATAACACATCTTTTTGATGCTTCATAGACTACTGTTGACTTCAGTAACTTTATGAAAATATTCAACATTAAAATAGTAGTTGTATTGCTCTCAGTGAAAAAGTGGTGAATGCTTTACTTTGAGAAAAGGACTATAAAAACTGTGCAGGCTTAAATAGTCCTTGTCAAAGATTCATACGGCACCTCTTAAATCTTACAAAGGTTCAATGATCTTTATGGTTCATTTATCAAGCACATATATAGACAAAACTTATATGTTTGCAAGTGCTTTTGTTTTTGACAGACAATGATTAGCATTGGATCAGGACAAAGGGAATGTATTTGGGCAAAGACACTTTGACATGCAGCAGTGTTTGCGGCTCAAACCACCAATTTTCCAATAGGAAGACAGCCACTCTACTTTTGAAGCACAGCTGCCTGGAGTGCATGTAATAGCAAAGAAGAGAACAGCATGTAGCTCTTAGAGTGGTGAACTTAACAATAACTGTATATAGCTTTGCATCAACTCAACACTCGTTTTTTTTGCTCCCTTATGGCTTTCAGCCTCCATCTCATGGGCTTTTTAGCTCATGCAACTTACAAGAAACATAAACTAGGTTCTCCAAATAAAAAATGCTCTTTATTATCAATACTTTATTATTTCAATATGCAAGACTCTCCATAACAACATAAAATGAATATATTATTGACCGACTTGCTTTTTTACGTATACATTGTATAAGTATAAAACATGGATGCATTTACATTTAAATATGTTATATATATATGGTAAATGGTAAATGGACTGTACTTATATAGCGCCTTTCTATCTGATCAAGATACTCAAAGCGCTTTACGCTACAATCTGTGTCCTCATTTACCCATTCATACAGCACTCTACTAGATCTCTACAAAGCTAAATGAACAAATCATTCTAAAAAGACTAATCAGTGATTTATCACATTCATACACTGATGGGACACACATCGTAGATTATGTGGGGTTCAGTGTCTTGCCCAGGGACACTACGGCATGTGACTGCTGGTGGATTCGAACCCCCAACTCTTGCATTGGAGGACGACTGCTCTAACCACTCAGCCACAGCTGCCCATATATATATATATATATATATCTATATATATCTATCTATATATATATATATATATCTATATATATATATAGATATATATACAGCTATATTCAAAGTTTGGATTGTATTTTCATCCATCCACCCATACATACATACATACATACATACATTTACTTTTAAGCACTTGTTCCTTTTCTGGGTCACGGGGGGAGCTGGTGTCTATTTCCAGCAGTCACCCTGACCAGGTTTCATATGAACTGAGTTGAGCTGAAGATTCAGCGACAGCAGACTGCAGACCATTGATTGGCCAGAGTTTGACTTCAATCATGACAGCGTTTCCTTCACAAGAATCAAGCCCATCATTTTATCCTTGCAACTGCAGCATTTG